ATTGAGTACTTGTTAGAACACCTGGAGGACTGGAAAGCCTTCTACAGCGATACCTCAGAGGATGCAATGGAGGAAAACACTGGGCAAGCGGTTGAAACTATTCAAGGACGCCCAAGTCGTGCACGTCAACGGCCAGCTCGCTTTGATGACTGTGAAATTGATCTACCATCGCAGCAGCGACTGGAAAGAGCACCACCGGAACATATTCCGGACACATACACTCGGTCAGGCAAACCAGCGAGTGTGTCTAAGGCGGCAGACATATGGGGCGATCATCGCTGCTACCTGAGGCTATGTATTACTAATGCATGGCAGAAGCTGAACGAATACTATATTAAACTAGGAGAGTCTCTGTTGTTCGTAGCGGCGATTATTCTACATCCTGGGCTTGGAATTAGATACTTGGAGACAAATTTGGCGACGGAAGAGCAGCTTGTATTGGTGAGAGATGCCAAGACCGGTCTCTCTAATTACTTTGATAAGTGGTACCGTCGCTTGGTACCTCATGCTACTGATGAGCCGGCCACTGCAGGCGTGGTAAGAGCGTTGGCAACAGCCGACAAGCGCGGCGAAGCGAGTGAGTTCAGGCAGTGGGTGAAGAGTAGAACGAGTAAAGCGGCGACGACAGGCAGCGAGCTTGACAGGTATATGCGAATGGAGACTCAGGATACTGATGACCCGATCAGCTGGTGGCTGACACATCAAGCTTCGTTCCCTGCGCTCAGTCAACTGGCGCTGGATGTGTTTGCGATACCAGCAATGGCTACTGATTGCGAAAGGTCGTTCAGTCTGGCAAAGTTGTCCTTGACATCACAAAGACTTTCGATGAGCCCAACGACGCTGGAGGCACTCCAGTGCCTCAAAAACTGGACGAGACATGGTGCTGTGAAGCTGGGGTCAGTGGTCTGGTGCCGGGGAGCAGACAGCAGCGTTGGTAGCATGAACGAGTAGTCAGCATTTCAAATATTTGATCAAATATTTCAAACAAACAAATATGGCTTCAAAATATATCAAACAAACAAATATAGGCCCGGATTTGATTTGTTTGATTTGAGGGCAGCGCTGACTGTGGTTGAGGGACGAGGCGGGACAGGACGCGGCGACCAACGGGGTGGACCCGAAGGCATTGGCGTCGCGCACTCACGTGCGCGGCTGGAACCACCTACGGTGGTTCGTCGACCTGAGAAACTGCTGTATTTTAGCCCCCCCTCTACACGTCTTATGCTACTCTGTAGCGCTATATAGACGTTAATATACAAACAAACAAACAAAATCAATCAATCAATCAATCAATAGCCAACTCCTTCACGAAAAAATTAGGAGGAAATTCTACTTAGTAGAGTTACTATTGACCAGCACGTCTCCATGCCACTGCAGGCTATTATAGACGGAAAATATATCAAATCAAATCAAAAGTTACACTAACAAATAGTTTAATATAGAAGTTTAAGTATATTTCTATAATAGGTTAAACTTCTGCGCAATATAGCTGCAAAATATGGTATCAAAAGAGGCTGTTATCAACGTCCTATCTTAATAACGGACCAACAATATCAAACTCAGTTGTCAGCAGATCAGAATGCTTTGTCAAAGGCTATGAAGATGATCTGGAAACGTTCAATGCCAAGCAGCCATCGAATGCGTCGGTGCGACCGGGCCGTTAATAGTGATTCCTGACAAAATCTACCTCTTTTGCCTTGGAAATAAAAGAAGCCGTTCCCTAGCTCGTGGGTTATTTCTGCTACAGGAAATAGAAGGACTGCAAGAGAATCCGCCTAAACGGCCCCGGAATTTAATAAGAATGCAGCTTGCGATCTGATGGCCGACAGCGGTGTTATCCTTGCGTGGCTGCTTTAGGTTGCGTTTTGCCACCTTGGTGCTAAGTAAACGTCCGCGTATGAAAGCACTCTGTCATATGCCACGCTCGTTTTAAGACCGGCCCAAGTATAGTGTCGCACTTCCGCATCGCTTTTTATCTTTTCTTTTGCAGGTTACAGTATCTAATTACGATGATAGCTTAACCCAAATATCAGGATGTGACTGCTCCTTGCCTACAAGAAATAAACATGGCAATTCGTTCTTTGCCCAATTCTACGTCTTCCATCTCATAAACAAGAGTTACTTTATAGGTTTTCAAAAACGGAGATACTGCATAGTTCATGCACGAGCATAACACAGGTAGCCAAGGCATATGTAATCATGTCGTATATAAGTGAAGCAAGAGACAACCCCAACAGCGCCACTTGACTCATCCATTTCCGAGTCCTAGTCAATGAAACATCCATTGCTGAGTTAGCGCCTGCCCCACCATGGCTCGTAGCCACGCGGTCTTTTGCTTGCAGCGACGATTTGTATTAATATGTTTGCTCGCAGACAGGGCTTGACAACCTCTCACTAAAATTATCTTCTTTTTGATCCTGTCCAAGTGAGAAGCGTTATGTCAGTCGAAATTATTCTCTTGGTGGCCGCTAGTGCTTTAGTGGTTGGCCACCTTGTTTACAGAAATGCCCTCCCAAAGCCACTACCTGGTATCCCGCACAAAAAGGTGTCCGCAGAAAGATTGATGGGTGACATACCTGACATGCTCGCAGATGTATCGCGGCGGAAGAACATTAATCTTTGGTGGCGTGACCACAGCGCATCTTTCAATTCGCCTATATGTCAAGTTTTTCTCGGCGGCCCATTCTCTAAACCCACTGTCCTTCTTGCAGATTATCATGAGGCTCGCGATATTGAGACCCGCCGAACGCACGAATTTGACCGCAGCTCACGAACCAGGGACGTGTTTGGGCCCCTCGCACCAAGTTTTCAGTTTGTGCTTCCGTCGGGCTCCGAATGGAAGGCTCACCGAGCTCTTGTTCAGGACGTGGTGTCACGACAATTCTTGGAAGCCGTCGTTGCTCCCACGTTGTACCAATCCGTGACCCGCCTAATCAGCCTCTGGGATAAAAAGATTGCACTGTCTGGCGGACGGCCATTCACAGCGATCGATGACATGTTTAACGTCACCTTTGATGCTGTCTTAAGCTTTACCTTTGGATCCGAGTTTCCACACAGTGCGATGGAGCCCCAGGTTAAATTGATGGACGAGTACCGAGCTATTGACAGAGACAACTGCATTGCTACTGAACAGCCGATAGATTTTCCAGTCGCAAGGCTTCATGAAGAATTAGAGGCTATGCAAACTCTCGTCGGTTTTGCTGAAGGTGCCATAAACGCAGGATCGCAAAATTTGTACTGGTTCTTCCAGACACGCTCGGCAAAGTTTAGCGCAGCGAAGAAGAGCAAAGATACATGCATTAGGGCGGCCGTACGCAGGGCCTCTCAAAAGCGGTTAGAACATTTGAAGTCGGAAGTAGCCAGTGACAGATCTTGGATTCATAGCTCGGTTGATTATTTGATTGATCGGGAATGCAAGCTTGCCGAGAAAGAGGGTCGAAAAGTCGACGTATTTTCAAGCAGGATTGCCGACGAGGTGCGTAACTATATCTTAACCATCCCGTGATGAAGTTTGGCTAATGCATGCATAGCTATACGGAATGGTCGTTGCCGGTCACGACTCAACGAGCAGCACAATGTGCTGGGCAGTCAAGTACTTGGCAGATAACCAAGCTGTACAGCAGCGTCTGCGCGATGACATGCGATATGGCTACCGGAAGGCACTCTTAGAGGGCCGTGCGCCCACCGTTACGGAAATATTGAGTACTAACATGCCGTATACCGACGCTTTTATGGAAGAGGTTCTACGCCATAGTACCATAGTCCCGTTTGGAGCCCGACAAGCCACTCAAGATACAATAATCCTCGGCAGAAAGATTCCTAAAGGAACTGTGGTACTCTATCTCAAGAACGGCCCTGGGATTTTATCCGACGGGTACACTTTTGATACTAGCATCGAAAGTGAGACGTCGAGGCTAGACAGGAGTCGTATTCCTGGCTCTGCAGATATCCCTTTGGAGATATTCAGCCCAGATAGATGGATTAAACGGGACGCTGGAGGAAATATCACGTATAATCCGAATGCGGCGCCGGTGCATGCCTTCGGGTTTGGCCCAAGGAGCTGCTTTGGGAGAAAGCTTGCATACCTTGAGTTTAGACTCCTGCTGACGATTATAGTTTGGAACTTTGAGCTGGGGCAATGTGCGACAGAGTTATCGGGGTATGATGGACGGTACAAGACATTTTTGATGCCTTGGAAATGCTATGTTCGACCAAAGAGGGTCACCAGCTGAGCAGATTATCTTTAGACTTTGCCTGGTCGTCGTTTCAGCGATCCAAAAAAGAAGAAGGCGATTACAATCAATTTATAATTTTCCTGTATAAAGGAAATTACATTGACGTGGGCCACATCACTACATAATAGCGCAGCCGCTCGACTAAACAAATCAAATCGGGGGTTCAGATTTGAGTGTTTGACTCCACGGTCATGATGTATTTGACTGTTTGATAGTATTTGATAGTATTTGACATGTTTGATAGATTTGATTAACTAAATTACATAGTGTCTGGTATTGACTCTACAAAATTGAAGTCTCCAATAGATACTGCACCTCTCCGCATCCAATTCTTCAAGCACTGAACCTTTTCCAAGGTTGATGACGACATCGAAAGTCTTTGTGATGTTAATGTCAGCTTAGCCAAGCTGAATGCTCTTTCACAATCTGCAGCCATGGCTGGAATTACAAATATATCCAAAGCAAGCTTGCTAAGAGTTGGAAATGATGCTTGATGTGATATCCACCATTGAACAGGATCATCTACTCGTTGAGGTAGATCGAGCCTGAAATATCGATCAAGCTCTGAGCTATCATCTGAAAGCCTTATTGTTCTGCTATTCAACCATTGCTGATATCGGCTATCCTCATGAGATGATTGGGTAGCTATGATATTAGTTTTCTGGCTTGTATATTCTTCGGTAAGTCGAGAATGAATATCATGATGATACCAACGTTCCCAGAAGTCTTCCAGACCTTTCTTGGCATCATAAAGCCATATAAGCTGTTCCTTTCCATTCCAACGTTCCTGTGGCCAGCGAAGACTGTAGTTAGGATGTAGTATAACTGCTGCAGCGAAAAGAGGTGAGTCTCCAAGCTTAATATAGTAGTCATTCAACTTCTGCCATGCATTTGTGATTGAGATTGGTAAATAGGCATGAGAGTCTTGACGAAGATTAGAGCGACGGTCTTGTTGCTGATAATTCGAAGGAGAGTATTCAGATCTTGTATGTCGAGGTAAGCTATTTGATGACTGTTTTAATTGTGTTTCCTTTTGGCTATCAGTGTTCCCAATAGTGTGATATGGTCATATATTGCCACCATTTTATGTGATCATATCATATATGATATTGCCCAGTGGCTATCATATAATATATGATCTAGACTTAGTATATATGATATTGCTATAATATATTTGTTGTGACTATTGTGACATTGGACGTATGTCACTTTACTAGACGAGTGAAGGAACAGTTAAGTCACTGGAAGTGGATAACATAGGAAAAGGAAGTGAATACAGGATGTATTCGCTGTATTTAACTAGAGCAGTTNAGACAGCGCAGCCGCTCGACCAAACAAATCAAATCAGGGGTTCAGATTTGAGTGTTTGACTCCACGATCATGACATATTTGACTGTTTGATAGTATTTGATAGTATTTGACATGTTTGATAGATTTGATTGACTAAATTACATAGTGTCTGGTATTGACTCTACAAAATTGAAGTCTCCAATAGATACTGCACCTCTCCGCATCCAATTCTTCAAGCACTGAACCTTTTCCAAGGTTGATGACGACATCGAAAGTCTTTGTGATGTTAATGTCAGCTTAGCCAAGCTGAATGCTCTTTCACAATCTGCAGCCATGGCTGGAATTTCAAATATATCCAAAGCAAGCTTGCTAAGAGTTGGAAATGATGCTTGATGTGATATCCACCATTGAACAGGATCATCTACTCGTTGAGGTAGATCGAGCCTGAAATATCGATCAAGCTCTGAGCTATCATCTGAAAGCCTTATTGTTCTTCTATTCAACCATTGCTGATATCGGCTATCCTCATGAGATGATTGGGTAGCTATGATATTAGTTTTCTGGCTTGTATATTCTTCGGTAAGTCGAGAATGAATATCATGATGATACCAACGTTCCCAGAAGTCTTCCAGACCTTTCTTGGCATCATAAAGCCATATAAGCTGTTCCTTTCCATTCCAACGTTCCTGTTGCCAGCGAAGACTGTAGTTAGGATGTAGTATAACTGCTGCAGCGAAAAGAGGTGAGTCTCCAAGCTTAATATAGTAGTCATTCAACTTCTGCCATGCATTTGTGATTGAGATTTGTAAATAGGCATGAGAGTCTTGACGAAGATTAGAGCGACGGTCTTGTTGCTGATAATTCGAAGGAGAGTATTCAGATCTTGTATGTCGAGGTAAGCTATTTGATGACTGTTTTAATTGTGTTTCCTTTTGGCTATATCGTAGCTTTCTTGGATGTGGTATTGGTGATTGGCTTTGCGATAATTGGATATCCCTATTAGCTGGCGTGGTGAAAAATGTCTTCGAATCTTCAAAATGATCAAGAAGATACTCAAGGCCAGTTATGATCTCCCAGAGCCGGCCATGGCTATCGCCTTTGCCCCAACCTTGACATCGCATTGTTTGGAGATAAAGTGGTTCTAAAATTTCCTTGATTTCCACAAGCAGCCGCCAGTCTTCTGATGATAAGATATCGTCCTCTGGAATCTGACTTTGAGGATCATCCTCAAGCTTATTCTCAATTAAGAAAGTCTGAAGATGTGTCTGCTTTGTAAGAGCACGATCAATCATCATATATGTCGAGTTCCACCTTGTATTGTTATTTATTATGACCTCCAGCTCTCGAGTTGACGGCTCATATATAGTAAATCCCTCGCTTGTATCCAATTCACAGGCAGATTGTTTTAATCTTTCACTGCGCTGAGGCGAGCTTCGGATGAATTTGATGATGTTACGAAGCTTGCCGATTGGCCCTTTTTTCCTCCAATGTCGGAGGTCATCATCAAGACGATCGGTAAGGTCAAGAACCTGTGACTCTTGCTCAAAGGTTTCACTGTCCTCACCATAGAGGAAGGCCCGGCCAACAAGGTTAAGAATATGACCATAGCATCGCATTCGCCGGTCAATAGCATCTTTATCAGTCATTGAGGAATCAAGCTGAGGGAATAGATGCTTTATACAAGTGTCATTATTCGTAGCATTATCACAGATGATAGTACCAATCTGATTTGTGATATCCCAATCTTGTATGACTTGGCGTAAAGTGTATGCAAGATTCTTACCGGTATNACGAATTCTCTGGTATTCAAGGTATACCTGCCTTACATAAACTTCATGAGCTAGCTATTTGGCTGCGTAGCTCGTCATTACATGCTGATATCTGGGATGATCGTGTTGGCCTGCGACTTGGTATTGATAACCAAACACGATGGTCATCGTGGTATATGGTTATAAATAGAGCTCTTACAAAGCAATCAGAAATCAAAGCCTTCATGACGGATTATGAAGAAGCCCTTAGTGGTATACTTCTTACGGCTCAAGATTGGGATTTACTATATAAAGCCCATATCTTTCTACAGCCATTTGTATCAGCAACACTATATGCAGAAGGGGATAAATCATCTATCTCCCAATCATTGTTATTAATGGATGCTCTCCTTGCCCATTACGAGCGCAATAAGCTATACTATTCTCAGGAAGACCATCTTGATCCTAGAATGGTTCGCGCCATTGAAATGGGCTGGGTTGTTCTTGCTAAATATTACAATATGACTGAAGAAGTACCTGTTTATACAGCTGCTCTTCTCCTCGATCCCTCTCGTAGAGCAGCATATATTCGAAAGAACTGGCCAGATGCTTGGGTTCAGCCAGCTATTAACGCTGCTACGCAACTCTGGGAAGAGAATTTTAAGGTAGAATCTATTACAGATGATGACCTATCTATACCCTCATCAATACCACCACCGGAAGCCCCTCTAAGAACGCATGGTATTGAACTTGATCTACTTCTTAAGGATATGGAAGTTATTACAGCAGATTTGAGGGAGGATGAGTTCAAGAGCTTCATCGATTTACCACCGTTCCGTATTGATTGTAGTCCTCTTGAGTGGTGGGGTCGTGCAGAGCAGAAATCGCGCTATCCACGACTCCATAGTATGGCTATAACGATATTATCTATCCCAGCAGAGTCATCTGAGCCAGAGAGAGCCTTTTCTGGCTCTAGAAGGACATGCTCATGCGATAGATTAAGCCTCTCATGTCTTAACATTCAGAGAATAGAATGCATTGGCAGCTGGATACGAGAAGGCCATATTCGTCTCTCTAAGCTTAATGGAATGGGTCTGCCAATGGAGGATGCAGCAGAGGATGAAGACGATGAGCTACAGGGTGAGATTCTGGATGAAATTGGGTGGATTTAGGGTAGTATTACTTTTTCTAGCTGACTAAGATTTCTATGGTTATAATTATGGTTATTGGTGGTTATGGTTACCACCCTTGTGGTTATTGATGGTTATGGTTACAGCCCCCTGAATAACCATATTTAGCCATGTGCCCAGGTATGACTCTAAGGAAGCGGCGCATACGGCCCTAGAGCAGATCGAGCTTACCGATAAATCTACGTTTAGCTCTGACTTCTCTAAGTGTGCTAATAAGCAGAGAGCACTAGGTTGGAGGCGACTGGGGCCGTTGGGGAAGGTGCATAACATGTCGGTCCATATACGCGGAAGGGACTTTCGCCGGAACGAATTTAAGGAGCGGGCTGGAAGGTCCCTTGGCCTCGATAATGATACGCGCTGGAACTCCTGGTTTCGCTCGCTAGACGCCACCCTCGAACTTCAGACTCATGTCGAATAGTACTAGAGGAAGTATTATGATGATTTACGCGACAACTACCTCTCTCTAGAGGAGTGACGAGTATTAAAAGAGACTCGTGTATTCCTATAACCGTTTTGGAGAATTACCTAACTTACAGAAGGGCGCTATGCTACATTAGATCGATTGCTTTTCACCATGGATGTCCTGCACAAGTATTATACTCAGGCGTTCTAACAGCACGCTGGCGATAGTACTCTGCGGAGCTGTATTACGGCTTCTTGGGCAGTCTTTGACAAGTACTATCGACTGATAGATAAGAGCCCTGTCTACGGTGCAACTGTTATACTTAATCCCTCGACGCGGTTAGTATATATTAAGAAGAATTAGCCCAAGTTATAGCATAAACCAGTGCTTGAAGGCGCCTGGAAGTACTAGAAGAGTTACTACCAAGGGCTACCAATTACTATAATAACCCCACAACTACATAGCCAAGATAGAAGCTTAGACAAGTATAATATATTGTAAGCCCGGCGATATATACGCTAGACAAGTACAAGTCCTACATCGCCTAATAACCTGTGGCGATTAACTACTCTCCTCTAAGTTAGTAGCTACGTGAAGAGCAGCAGCGAACATACCCGCGGCTTTCGCAGATAGCGATTGACATCCTGTTAGTACCGGCTATGTCTGTTGAGCCTGAGCGTGTCTTTTCTAGAGCAAGACGTACGATTTCGTGGGACAGATACCAGCTAGGTGCAAATACGATTGAAAGGGGAGAGTGTATGAAGAGCTGGATTAAAAGTAGAATAACACAAAGCGTTGTCGTAGATGCACCAGATCAGGACATGGACGAGGGTAGCGATAGAGAAGACAGTCAGGATCCGGCAACATAGGCTAGTTCTACGACAGGTTCAGTATAGTTCTGTTCATGACGTCATTTATTGTTAATCTATAAATATGGAATAAGTTCCATACGAGTCGGGAGTTCGTAATCCATACCGAGAACCTTCCATATGGAGTATGGAATATGGATAGAAAGCCTGAGTGACAATATCCACACCACACTGAACTCGGCCTCAAAGGAAGAGGAGACACAAGCACATCTCTCCTGGCTCCGCACTTACCCTGATGGGCTTATCGTTTACTCGGACGGTTCGAAGCTCGAAGACAATAAAGCAGGTTATGGCTATGTTGTCTATTGGAATGGGACTGAGATTGACAGAGGATCTCGGCAACTCGGCTCTAGAGAGGTTTTCGATGCTGAGATCTCCGGTACTCTACGCGGCCTCCGGCAAGCTATTAAGCACTGCACCCCTAGCACTCTGATTACTGTATGTATTGACAACTCGTCCGTGGTACGTGGCATCGGAGGCACCGCCCCCATGTTATCTCGTGCTGAATTCCTCGCTTTCCAAGCTATTTGAGATGAATTCCCTGGCAGAATATCAGTTAGATTTACCCCCTGACATAAAGACATACCTGGCAACGAAGCAGCAGATGCTCTAGCCAAGAAAGGGGCCGCAGGGCCTCTTCGAGATCTTGCACCATCAATTGCGCAGCGACGGCGCGAGATCCGCGCTTTGCTCCCCCGTCTCTTTCGCACATGGTGGGAATCGGTAGAAAAGAGAACCTACTAGTCTCTTGGACCTACCGCTGACCTATTAAAGTTCCCAGAACTCGATATCCCCCGACGACAACTCCGACATCTCCTCGCTGCACGGTCTCACCACGGCGACTTTGCCTCGTACTATCAGCGCTTCCATCATGATAACGCTACACTGGAGTGCCCATGTAGCTATGAGAAGACTCTAATATATTTGTTCTACTGCCGAAAGGTCCCTCTAGGCTTTCGAGCTCGGCTCGCACCCGATACATCGAAGTCTATCGGTCGCTTTCTCGGCTCGCAGTTCAAGGTGTTCTGTCGAATCGCGGACGTGTACTTCAATAGAATCTGCACACGTAGGTAGTAATACCTCCACTCAACCGCCCGGCAGTGATGCGTCATTATCACTCCTTATAGGAGCTTTCCTTTCTACCAGCATACTTTCCTTTGTCGGCCGACCAGCCATTCCCTTACCTAGATAGAAAATACTGCTTGGGAAAGACACCCACTACTCACAGAGTGCACTGGCCCCCAATTAAGAAGCCAGAAGTCAATAGGGGCACCTAGAGCCCTCTCTGGATCCCGCGTCGGGTGAGGAGTTGGAAAATTATCGTGTTACTGTGGTTTGTTTAAGGAAGGGACGTGGAGCAAGAATCCCAAGGGGTGGGCCCTCGGCTCGGCGTCGTCACGTTTCGTGGCGGCTGGCGCCGCGTACGCGGGAGTTCGGTCTTCGTCTCTTAATACCTATCAGCCACACGTCTTATGCTACCCTGGAGCGCTAGATAGACGTTAATAAATAATAATAATCCAGCCCCTCCTCTACACGTCTTATGCTACTCTGTAGCGCTGTATAGACGTTAATATACAAACAAACAAACAAACAAACAAACAAACAAACAAACAAACAAAATCAATCAATCAAAAGTGGGATCATCTACATCTACAGGAGTGAAATCAGCTTTTGTAGAATCACGTAGATAAATTGCTCGGAAAAGACTTTAGGACCCCCTAAAAATATTCCCTCGCCTTCGGCGCGCCCGTTGGTATGGCTAACGCGATGTTAACCAGACTGCAGACGCCGGAGGCTCAAGTGACTGATGATACTGGCTGGGTGCATGTAACGGTCTCAACTGAGTATATTGACAACTAGCTGAGCGACTACTACGAGTATCCGAAGATGAAGAAGAAGGGATCGAAAAGGGGCTATTCCAGCTAGCTGGAATAGCCTTTTATATGACTTACATGGGTCCCTTGCCTAGATGGTCGAGGGCTACCCGAGACCTCCACGGGCCTAGCCCGTTACAGTGCAAGCCTATAGCAACAGGAAGTCGCAAGACGCCTTGCTGCGCAACGCCTAGAAAACCACACACCAGCCTCTCCCTTCAAGCAGTAGTCCTCTGCCCCCGATCGATTCTTCGACTCGAGCCCGAAGCAAGAAAGCCCCGACCAAGAACTACTTCAGTGTCCTCGACAATAGATCGCTTGGCGATGATCTCGACTTCGACCTCCAGGCCCACGCCGAAGAGGTTATTTTACGCGAAAAAGAAAGAATGGAGGCACGTAACGATGTCCTGCGTACATTCGCAGTGACAATCAACGCCTGCTGCAAGAAATACACCAAGGGATACTCCCAGAAAGTCGCCAACGAATTCGCACGATCTCTCCTCTGACAATAAGACAGCTTTGTGCGTAACGAGCAGGGCACTAGCCCTAACCCGGCAAAAACACAACCTCAGGCCATGGAATATCAACTACGCCGCGAGAACCCCAANAGAGTGATATGATATGGTGACCGTATCATATTATATGGTCATAATAATATATGGTCATATATATGACCATATGTCTCACACTATTGGGAACACTGAGACGGCTACAGAATTGATGAGAGAAAAGCAAAACCTATATGTTAGCGTAACTACTAAGTACTATTAGCTGAGAGCCACAGGGCATAATTAACAATAAATGAATATATACGTGCCAGACTATTCGTCTCATGAGCTCCAGACTTTGTATATCGCTTGTTTTCAGCCTCTTAAATATAGTAATATAATTAGAAATCTAATGCAAGCACATGTCACCCCTATCACCAAAGAGGAATTCTTTCCAGCGGTTTGCATAATACACAAAGACGCTATTATAGAATTGAATATCCGAGCAGGATGTCGAGGCACTAGAACTGTTCTTATCGACAAGAGCGTGAGTCACCACCACGGATTCTCAAACTAAACGGAGACTGGAGGGTGACTATCACCTAATAGGTAGTGTGGTGTCAGAGATACGTATGTATATTATTCTCTTGTGAGCATTGAACAACTTCATTGAGTCGCCACTATGCAACGTAGCATACGTAGACTTGCTACTTGATTAGTTGGCAACATGGTGATCGACTTGCTTGCAGGAGTGCATAATGTGTACAACTACTAAACTAATCCACAGGCGATCGCCTCACCTTCCCTGACCTTCTAACTATGAACAATACAATGAAACTGCTTCCGATGTCTGTCACCAGACGTCTTCGAACATCCAACTTTGCCCCATTGCTTCACCTATATGTGCAAGACTTTCCCATTCCTTAGGACTAATTTTAGTACTCTCCCTTTTGCCGAATTCCTCATAAAACCTTGCCAATGCAGGGAAGCGATCACTGATAGCCAGCTTTATCCCGTAGAAGTCGTTTGCAAATGCTAATATGGCGAAAAGAACACACTCTGCAACAGTAACCTCTCCACTCTCCCAAGTCCTTGTTTCTTGGGTATAGTACTTCTCCAATAGTGTCATGGTTTTGCGAGCGCACTGTAGCATAAGCCTGGAGGCGTCCATATTCGTCTCCTCGTGGGCTGAAAAAAGCTTATTGCCTTTGTGAGCGGCCCACCCGATTTGTAGCGTTAGCTCATCTGCTATCCCGAGTTTCTCCCTAGTGCGGGCACGTTCTTGGGCCGTGTTGCCGCGCATGCTGCCCTTCATTGCAATTTTGGCAAACTCTTTGTGCCATTCCTCCATCGGATTTTCGCAAAGATCTTCGAAAAAGTCAATTATGGCAATCGATTGGTTGATTATGGTCCCGTCGGGAACTCGAAGCATGGGGACTGTTCCTGGCGGTTTATTAGGGGCAGTCATTCCATTTAGATCGACTGAGACAACATTGAGATGCGGGGCGCTAATGATATTCTTTTCATGGAGATATATCAGGACTCTCTGGGGGTTAAGGAGTCCAGCACGGACAAACAAGTCCAACCGGTAGGAAGGTAGCGCCATGAATAATTTTGATCAACTTCAGCTAAGGTGTTTTGATTGTGACTATTTGCAAGAATAAAGGACTGGCTGGTTCTAAATATTTAATCTACAAGCTTAGCCAACGCTGGCATCAGTCTCACCGAGTCTTGTACATTTAATGACTCATTTCTCCTCGTGCTCGGAGCCTAAGCATTGGATCGCAGTAGTAGTTGGTGCTAACTCATCATATCACAAAACGCGGGGCTAATTGGTGGACCATCAGACCCGCCTTTTTGACGAAGATGTCTCGTGAGCTCTTCCCAGGGTTGGAAAAAACACCAAGGATTTTTTTAATTAACGTGGTTCACGGGTGAGTGGGCCACCTCGCGTCACTCTTTAATTGACTGAATTAAAACCTTTAACAAACAACACATCATGGTTCGAAATAAATTAAATGAAGCAGATATAATCTCAGCTCTTCAAGCTATCCAAAAAGACTGTAAACTCTCTATTCGACAAGTTGCACTGATCTACAACGTCTCTCGATCAACCCTCGAACGCCGTCATACCAAAATCCAGGCTTTCTATCCATACGCGTATGGATTAGTTAATCCGTATGGAATATGGAATATGGTGTATGGAATAAGTATTCCAGATGAAGGAAGTCGGAATATTGTTTTTCCCTATCATATTCATCTTTCCGAGTTTCGTACGCATCTTTAATGTCGTCGCGTCATATCAGCTAGACAGACCATGTTTTCCAGCGAGCCACCCTCATCGTCCATCGTTAGCATCGGGCTTTTAAGCGCTAGCGATTCCGGTCAGCGACTATCGCGAAAACGAAAGACCGCCGCAAACACGTGAGTGCACGCTCGCGAGGCTGTCGGCGCAGAACCTACACGTTGTAGTCGCAAGAATGAAAGGATTTACTATTGTCGGTATTGTGTAGATCTTGTTTTTTTTTTTATCTTTTTTATAATTTTTTGCCATCATTTGCTCAAGGTTCATAGCATTGAGCTGGAGCGACAGGAGCATCCGATCAAAAGACAACGCGACAGTTTAATTGAGGATATATTCGCTAAAGCCAGGGAGATACACGGCGCGAAGCAGCTGGCAGGGCGAGAGGATACACTTCGAACAACAATCAACCAGAAGGCGGTGCTAGAAGCACTAGTCCAGCTCGTTATTGTCCGCAACCTCATATAACTACAGCTCTTAGACGGAGCTGCACGCACTCGTTTCTGCTATTAATTCTATAGCTAAGGATCTTATTAGTCTGTCTAACAGGTCTATACAGAAGCTTGTCTCGAAATTATTCTATGTTTATAAAGATATACTGAGGAGAAAGCTCCAGTCTACGCCGTGGAAGCTGCATTTGTCGGCGGATATTTGGTCCGCCTCGAATCGTAAAGCCTTCCTCAGAATCTATGTCAGATTTGTTGACCCAGACACGAAAGAGGCATTGCAAGCGCTGCTTGCCTTGCCGGAGCTACCCGGGCTTGACGGTCCAGGCAGCCATGGTGGCGCCGAGTAGTGGAAGGTTCTGTAGCATGTATTAGAGGACTATAACATCTGGCATAAGGTAGGATTCTACACCGGCGATAATCACGGCTCTAATAACAAGCTATGCCGCCTACTAGGTAACCATCTCCAGGAGAGAGGCATTGCCTGGGATAGTAATACATAGAGAATTCGATACCATGGCTATATACTTAATCTTGCAGTTCAAGCATTCCTTTTCATGGACTCTAAGCATACCTGGGCACATAGTTATGGTTATATTAGTGGTTATGGTTATAACCATAACCATACCCACAATATGGTTATATGGTTATAACCATGGGACCCCAGTGGATATGGTTATAACCAAATATAACCATGGTGGCGTCTTAGTATTAATTAAGGGGCGAAAATTTGTAAATACCTCATATTGACTGCGCTCTCCTCCAACATCGCCTTGTAGTAGCATTAATACTACATCATGTCATCAGATATCTCATCTAGTATTACGTCTGCTTCACAAACGTCATCAACACCAACAATACCATTACATTTTGACAGTATAATCAAGGTTGAATATATCGAAAAGCCGAATTCAATCCTCAAATCAGGCATTCAGCGTCGAAGGCAGTTTACTTGTCGAAAATGTAGTTCTTGGACTACATCCCACCGGACGAATGCTATTAAGCATATTATATCTCTTCACCCCCTATCCAGACAGTCTTCTGGGGCTTCCTCGTCTATCGTACCACCACAAAGGGATATATCATCGATGTTTACGCCTATTCTTTCCAACAATGGTCTTCGAAATAGCTTTAATCAACAAGGTTACCGAGAAGCTATTATTGGCTTATTAACTCGGCGTCGAATGCCTTTCTCTGCTGTTGAATGGAGTGAGATGAGAGATCTTGCTCTGGCTTGTAACCCAGCTATTGAAGATCTATTGATTACTTCACGCCGTACTGCAGTTCGCTATATTGCTTCGAATTATACACTTTACCAGGGCCAAATAAAGGAGAACCTTGCCACCAGCAGTAGCCCAATCCATATATCATCAGATCTATGGACATCGCCCCATCGCTATTCTCTTCTTGCTATCTGTGTATAATGGGTTGACCAAGATGGCAAGCTATAGAAGGCTCTACTTGGATTACCAGAATGTCGATATTCCCATAGTGGAGAGAAACAAGCTAGCCTTATTCTCCAAACTGTGAAGGATTTCAATATCCAATCTAAGCTTGGGTGGCATACAGGGGACAATGCAACTTCGAATAATACTTGTTTAGAGGTTATGGAGTCACGCTTACTTACTGAATATGGTATACGGTTCAATGCTAAACAACGTCGTATTCGATGTATTGGTCATATTATCAATCTCTCCCTTCAAGCCTTCTTATTGGCATCATCAAAGGAGGCATTACTAGCAGCTCTTGCTGCTGCTGCTGATGNGACTAAATTACATAGTGTCTGGTATTGACTCTACAAAATTGAAGTCTCCAATAGATACTGCACCTCTCCGCATCCAATTCTTCAAGCACTGAACCTTTTCCAAGGTTGATGACGACATCGAAAGTCTTTGTGATGTTAATGTCAGCTTAGCCAAGCTGAATGCTCTTTCACAATCTGCAGCCATGGCTGGAATTTCAAATATATCCAAAGCAAGCTTGCTAAGAGTTGGAAATGATGCTTGATGTGATATCCACCATTGAACAGGATCATCTACTCGTTGAGGTAGATCGAGCCTGAAATATCGATCAAGCTCTGAGCTATCATCTGAAAGCCTTATTGTTCTTCTATTCAACCATTGCTGATATCGGCTATCCTCATGAGATGATTGGGTAGCTATGATATTAGTTTTCTGGCTTGTATATTCTTCGGTAAGTCGAGAATGAATATCATGATGATACCAACGTTCCCAGAAGTCTTCCAGACCTTTCTTGGCATCATAAAGCCATATAAGCTGTTCCTTTCCATTCCAACGTTCCTGTGGCCAGCGAAGACTGTAGTTAGGATGTAGTATAACTGCTGCAGCGAAAAGAGGTGAGTCTCCAAGCTTAATATAGTAGTCATTCAACTTCTGCCATGCATTTGTGATTGAGATTGGTAAATAGGCATGAGAGTCTTGACGAAGATTAGAGCGACGGTCTTGTTGCTGATAATTCGAAGGAGAGTATTCAGATCTTGTATGTCGAGGTAAGCTATTTGATGACTGTTTTAATTGTGTTTCCTTTTGGCTATATCGTAGCTTTCTTGGATGTGGTATTAGTGATTGGCTTTGCGATAATTGGATATCCCTATTAGCTGGCGTGGTGAAAAATGTCTTCGAATCTTCAAAATAATCAAGAAGATACTCAAGGCTAGTCATGATCTCCCAGAGCCGGCTATGGCTATCGCCTTTGCCCCAACCTTGACATCGCATTGTTTGGAGATAAAGTGGTTCTAAAATTTCCTTGATTTCCACAAGCAGCCGCCAGTCTTCTGATGATAAGATATCGTCCTCTGTAATCTGACTTTGAGGATCATCCTCAAGCTTATTCTCAATTAAGAAAGTCTGAAGATGTGTCTGCTTTGTAAGAGCACGATCAATCATCATATATGTCGAGTTCCACCTTGTATCGTTATTTAGTATGACCTCCAGCTCTCGAGTTGACGGCTCATATATAGTAAATCCCTCGCTTGTATCCAATTCACAGGCAGATTGTTTCAATCTTTCACTGCGCTGAGGCGAGCTTCGGATGAATTTGATGATGTTACGAAGCTTGCCGATTGGCCCTTTTTTCCTCCAATGTCGGAGGTCATTATCAAGACGATCGGTAAGGTCAAGAACCTGTGACTCTTGCTTAAAGGTTTCACTGTCCTCACCATAGAGGAAGGCCCGGCTAACAAGGTTAAGAATATGACCATAGTATCGTATTCGCCGGTCAATAGCATCTTTATCAGTCATTGAGGAATCAAGCTGAGGGAATAGATGCTTTATACAAGTGTCATTATTCGTAGCATTATCACAGATGATAGTACCAATCTGATTTGTGATATCCCAATCTTGTCGCCTCCGGGCAGTTCGCAACGCGGACGGTGACTTCATAAGGTTCGGCTTTGTTTGGGGCTTTAGTATTAGTCTTGTCGGTAGTAGATAGCTTGGTGGTGGAGGCGACCTGGGCCCAGGTCGGTTGGGATTTAGACTGGAGGAGGGTTTCCTTAACGACCTCCCGGATGACATCCCGGGTAAAGGTCGGGTCTGCCGTGGCCCCGTGTAGGGGGTAACAGTCGAGGGAACTAGTGATGTCCCTGGCGAAGATGTCGATGGCGTCCACCGCTTCGGGCTTATTGGCGTCTCCTACCAACCGGAGCAGTTTCGTTTTGAGGGTAGATATATAGGAAAGAACCTTTTCCTTCGTCGGGTCTATTTCAGCTTCGGCGCGCGCCCGTGCCTTCTTCGGGGAGTTCCCCTGGGAGGCTCGTTTTGTTGGCGAAAAGACCGATTGACTCAACGCTCCTGCCGCGGAGCCTGCGCAGCTACGTGGAGGGCCCATAGAGCTATATCGCTATGTTATCGATAGGATACAAGATCGTTTAGCGATTTTAGTAAACAATGAAGCAAGCGATAGTCGATTTCAGGAATCTTCAAAGTCGATAATCTACCCTAGATTACTTAATTGTATTTTATGAATTTATTAGCTTATATAACGGGCTAGGCCCGAGAGGGTCTCGGTGGATCTTGACCAGGAACCTATGTAAGTCGTATAAGAGGAAATTCCCACAGCTGGAATTACCCCCTTTTTAGAACCTTTCTTCATCATCTTTGAATACTTGCAGTAGTCTTTAGCTAGTGTTAAGAATCGGGCTATGCCCGATACCCATTCCGCGAAGGGTGCCAGCGCTACCCTATACCTAGGAAGAGAGAGGCCGATCAAGGCCCGGTAAGGGCCTTGTCAATCACTCGGGCGACGTGCTTGTTACCCCTATCCAGGGTCTTTATATAAAGTCTTCCACGAGCTGAAGACTTTGGAAGATGTTCTTTAAGCGAATTAATCACTATCTTGAGACACCCTTTCTGCCAGCTGGCCCG